TGCGACTATTTTTCCGGCTGTACAGTGGTCTCCCCTCAGATTTGTCTACACTGGTACGTCAAACAACTTTATCCTCACGGAGCTCTGGCGAAGCTCTAGGCTTTGTTCTGTTGGCTCATTGTTTCGGCAGATGATCATCCTTTCTTATTGCCTCTAGATTTTTTCGAACACAAACACATCCTGATTTTAAAAAAATAAGGTTACACTGTTGAAATAGGATCCAGAGCTTTCGTTTTGTGTAACTTGTGGAGCATAAAGGACAAATGCCTTTGTTGGTACTTCGTACACAGATTGTGATGATTTCCAAACTTTCCCTAACAGCTTTATACTTCTGTCATTTCAGGTCCTCTCCTGTCTTGTTCAGTTGGTGAGTGTGCGTCGGTCGTTGTTCACCAATCCGGAACGGCAAACGTTCCTCGGCGAACTGGTTGGCGGGACAAGAACTATCTTGGCCAATCAGAGTGCCAGTTTGTCGAATCCGGAGACTTATCACGAATTCTGCCGACTCCTGTCCCGACTGAAGTGCAATTTCCAGCTCACTGAACTGATTGGTTTGGACTGCTATGCAGAATTCATTCAACTCATCACTGCGTTCACTGTGCACAGTCTTAAAGTGAGTTCTCTCTCTCTCTGATTGACGTAAACTATCTGGTTGTAAATTCCTCTGAGTTATGCGGCATCCGATCGTGTGACGATATTGATACTACTACTACTACTACTGCTGTTCAGAAATGTACCTGAGCCGATAAGATGATGCCTTGAGTTCAGGTTTACTGGAACTCCATGAAACATCCGCCATAATTCCGTTTCTCCTTAGACTGCTGTTGTTGCTCAACAGGAATTCAAAGTGGATCCCTTGAGCTGTAATTCCTGAACGCTTCCCCGCTCCTCGATTCACGCATTACCATGCAGCATTTTTCGTAACTATTCCAACCCTCATTATCATTTGTAAAAATGATTCTATAGCTCTTTTTCGGTTAAATGTTTTATTTCACTTGGAAGTACTCTCTAGATGGATGTATAACTGCCAGAGCGTATTACTATCTCTTTATGTAGAGTGTAACACCGAATATATTATATTACTATATTTCATACGCATCTGAGGCCAGACTGTATACTAGACAAATCGCGGTACATTAAGCTCTATGAAAAAGAAAATGTTTCATGATTTTCTCGTAGACACGATAGCGATAGGTTGTCCAGGTTAGTGCAAGTGAATTTTCTTCGGAAATTCACATCCGACGCCTTCAGTTGACCGAAGTTCGATCCACAAGACAGCGGGGTGGTGTGTGAAAACCGCAATCCATTTGGGGNCAGTTCATCGGATCATACGCCCTTCGGACGATGTCAGTCGACAAAACGCCCGATGCATCTTGATATCCAATCGAACTGCAACCGGGAAGGTGCGTGGATGTGTGGTTTCTACACCTCGTCTTGGTAGATTTGAGATCAGGGTTTTTAGTCAACTCCCTCTAGATGAACTGCCAGTTGTTCACCAAGCCGGATATTGCCCCGGACGTTAACTTTTTGTCCTCCCACTTTGGTGATAAAATCCCTTCACCACAAGAAGTTAGTGAGTAGGCCTTCCTCAGCAGAGACCCTTTGGGACACTTGGTCTTATAGGAGCATTTCGTGAGGTGTAAGGGACGGTGACCAGCGGCAACCGAAGACACCCGCCCCCGATCATACTGAGGCTTTCGGAGGCGTTGCCCCGGTTACTCATCATTCTTCCTCATTGGTGACGTGCATTGAAACAAACACTAGCACACTGCAGTCATTACTATAGCTACGTGTTACCAAACCACCAACCATTTGTATTTGTACAAACTTTCCCATGGACAGATGCTCACATTTCAGTCAAAAACCCACATCATCTCGTTGATGGAAGGAATTAATTAGAGTAAAACACTTAATCTTCAAGGTTGTTTAGAAATTCCAAAGAAACCCGCTTCCAGTTTGCAGGGATTCTTGCCACTGTAGAATTTCTGTACACGTTAACGAGAGAGGGTAATAAACGATATGCTGAACATATGGATGATTGCGAGCGGTATTTGGATAGATCGCCATGTAAAGGATGATTGAGGTCAGAGAGGATTTTCTGTGTAAACGTTTCACATGCAAACAAGTATAGTTCACCAAGTTTTTTGGATAGATCATCAACGAGTATAAATTACACGACCATTAATCAGTAAACGGCGCCGAATAATTTTGGATTCTTAAGGAGTACAGCAAAAACCACCGGGGAACACTAAAGAAGAGTAGGAAAAACACATTGATGAACAAAAGGCGAAATGATTTTTTTGTTTGGCGTTGAATTGCCCATGTTTTCGACTTAGAAAAAAATAATCTGCGAAGTTTGTTTTCACAGTTGTAAACATGGGACACCCAATTTAAGTTTGTGTCAGTGGTAACTCCTAAATACTTCACAGGATCTACTCTGATTAGAGAATCTCTGTTTACGACCGAGGGTTACGGGGTTAAACGTATGGAGAGCGGGTTAAAATTCAATCGAATCACTTGGATAAATCATGAGACGGTCCAGGACAAACCGGAAATTCATAAATGTGCAATAGATTGCGATCCTCAGGCACAGAAATGGCCTAGTAGAGAGTTACTTCCTCCGTATATGTAAATAATTGGACCGCTAAACCATTTTGTTCATGTTAAACAAAACGAATGTAAAAAGGTAGATTTCACTTGGGACTTGGTTCGTGTTCATTGAGGAGCATTTCAATCGCTATAAAAAAATTTGTTAGAGCCCAACGGTGATAGCCTTTCGTGATAATTTTTCTCCCCTCTCCTAAGGTATTCGTGTGTTTATTAATTGTAATGCAGTACTGGTTGAAGTTAATTCTAGAGTTTTTATCTGCACGCCCGATAATTCCATCAACGTGTAATCTATCTCATTCCATTGCACTTCCATTTCTCTGCAGTCCTTCCCTCGGAGCACGAACAGTAACAGCATACACTATCTACTTGCTCTCTGGCAACGCTTGGTTGCCAGCCTCCCATATGTACAATCCCCTGACTCTGAGCTGTTGGAGAATGCTGCATCCCAGGTATCCCGTACCTATATCGAAGCTTGTCTGGCTTCAGTCCCGGATTACGTAAACTGCCCCAGCCACATTCGATCCGCTTCGACGAAACCCGGCAAGGCGGATAATGAGCCCTGGGCTGGATTCGGATCAGCTGGGACCGGGGTGAACCGCACGCGACGATCTAAAGCGGGTCGGGGTGACAGTTTTGTAGAGGACGAGGAAGATGATGTATCGGAGTGTCCGCTGGACGATTTGACCACGTTGTCCCAGCAACTAGAACAGGTTTGTTTTCAATTTTATTCCTCATATCGGATCGTCCTTGTAGCTTTGCGTAAATTCTCAGTGATTTCTATTGTGGTTGAATTGCTCTCAGAATTCTTTATCCTTGCATCACGGCGCGTCGCAAAATATCTGTTTCATGTTTCACACACGTCTGACGCCAGACTGTGTGCCGAAAAAATCAACGCACAACAATCTTTATGAAAAGAAAAGTGTCCTACGTTTTGCATGCGGGCGGAATACTGTTAGGTTGCTCAGGCCAAGGCAGGTGAAATTTCCCGAAAAATTTACAACCGGAGCCTTTGGCTAACCGAAGTCTGACCCGTAAGGAAGCGGGGTGGTGTGCAAAAATCGCTGTCCATTGGGGGCCGGTGTCCAGTTCATCGGATCATACGCCCTTTGGATGGGGTCAAACGTCCAAGGTGCCCGATACACTTAACATGTATATGAGTACTCCTCTGTGATGTTTACAACTTGAATGGTGAAGGTCATGAATTATGTAACTAGGCTGTACTGATGTTGATGAACATCCTACCTATCCAAGAAGAGTGATATACCAGGTGATTCACTAAGCTAAAAACACCGTTGAATAGAATTTTCGGCTGCGGTTCATTTGCACTTTTACCCGACAAAACTGTGGACCTAATGGCAAACCGTGATCACAACTTACAAGCCCGTGTCTGTGACGGGGCTGAGCCGGTCACTTTGTGTTGGTCTTTGCTCTGCTCGTGCAAAACAAGTCACAGTTGGTAGTCGTTGCAAGACGATAACAGAACTAATTTGGTCTGACTGTGAACGCGTTGGGTCTGAGTGTTTGGGAAGCGGATGAAGAATTCAACTGTCCCATGTTCGACAAAGCGGAAAGCAGATCACTTCAACTGTGCGAAGTGTTCACAGCGTTCTCCAGACCGAATCGGTTCAGCGTGTAAACGAATAAGTCCAGGAAGAAGTCGGTGATTACGGTGGAGGTAGACCGTTTTAACTTGTAAAG